AAAATAATTAAAAAAGAATTACTAAAAGAAAATATGGAATCTTATAAAAACAAACTTTTATCAAGTTATTGGACACAAATTAATTTAATTGGATATAAAATTGAATTGTTAGAAAAACAAAAAGTTGAATATTCGTTTGAAAAAAGCAAAATATTTAATATTAGCAACAAAATAAGTAAATAAAAAAATATGCTATTAATAACGTTTTATAAAGTTTTTTATTTCAATTTTATTTTAATTCTATAGGAGTAACTATTGAAAATAATGAGCGAGATTGTTTCAATTGTGGTGTTAAACAAATTAAAACTCAATGGCATAAATATCTCAAAGAACACTATTTGTGTCATACTTGTGGTGATTATTTCCATAAATTTGGAAAGAATAGACATAAGAGATTGTTTATTAAGACTAAAAAGGTTGCTATTATTAAATATCTGCAGATAGGGTTCCGTTTATTTTATAACGTATGATTGTCATAATCACATACTCAATTTCAACTTGAAACAGCCGAATTCCTTGATTTTTTTGTAATAGTTATCGGCGATATCAGGGATTTTAAGAGTTTTTTGTTCCGGTTCTGGTTTCTTTGGTTACGGTTTCGGAACTTCTGGTGAACCGTATCCGGAATCGTAAGTAATCCTCAATTTTTAGCGCCGTAGGCGAAAATTTGCCCGCCCGCTAAAATTTAATCCTACTTTATACTATCTCCATCTGCTTCTCTCTTTTCTCTCATTAATGCGCCTTGCTCATTCTCTCTCTATTATTACTTAGACAAGCTAAATCGGCCCAAACTTACACAAAATTATTAATTTTTAAATTTCTAAAGCTATGTATATTATATTTATTATTATTTAATTTAATAAGGAGGATAGGCATTGTGCTATTTGTGTAGTTACTCAAACAACAAGGTGGTACCGTCATATAGAATTTGGGCAATATTTATGTAATGCGTGTCACTTTAAACAACTAAGAAATATTCTAAAAAACAAAAAATTGAAAAACGAATAATAAATGTAAATAATAAATGTAAAAGCTAGCTTTTAAATTTTTAGATGGAGAAGAATTGAAAAAACCAAATAAACGCCGCCAATGGAAACCAAAACTCGAGGTGATTAAAGAAGAAACTAAGCCGTCGATTTTTAATTTTCTTAAAAAACCCTTTTAGTTCTAAAAGCTAAATTTTAACGATTTTTGTTTATACCGTTTTAAAGCCTTTATAAAAATCTATGTCCTTTTAACGGCCTTTTTTTTTTTTCATCTAAAAATATTTTTTTCCATTGAAAAATTTTTTAACACCGATGCAACCCGATTTTCTTATCATTGCTGTCCTTTTATCTCTATTATAAGTTACCCGAGACATTACAATACCAACGAAATTTTTTCGACTCAAAAACGGATCCTATGGAACCTTTTGCTTTCTCTCAACAAAGCTTTTTCTCTGTACACTCAGTGTGGATCGTTTGTCCAACTGACAATACCACCTGTTTATATCAATTATGTAAATTACCATCTATGTTATTTTTGTATTATTCTTGTGATAAAAATGTTATCCAGTTTAGATGTTTCTTGTTAGTTACAAGGTTTAACCGCATTATATGAAATAGAGACATCCGAAGAAACCGAGCAATATTTCTCAGTCCAAAAAAATATTTGCTTTAAATCTATGTTATTTCTAAACATGCCCCCTATTTCACTGGTCAACAACATGTAGAAAAACGTATTTAGTTTGACAAGAAAAGTCTAACTTTTAATGGGATCTGTTTCTAGCTAAATTTATAATTCGAAATAGTGCAACATTATACTAACCTCGATTTTGACAAGTTTAATTAATTAAATCTACAAATTAATTAAACTGTTTATAAATTAGAAATAGGCGTAAATTGTAAGGAGTCTATTCGGCATTTTAAAAAATGAAAAATTAAACGGCCTTCTCTCCAATATTTTTTATTAAATTTTATCTGCAACTTTCCCTCTATACACTGAATAAAATATTTTTCTCTATCATCTGCACACATTATCATTTCTCCCCTCCATATAGACATATAAAAGTCGACACGGCATTAAAACACCGTAAAAAATTTGTGAAAAAATGGTATTGGACAAATTGCAATGAAAACTCATTCGGTTCTGATTTGGCTAGAAGACTTAACATTCAGCTCGCCGAGCTCATTCATACATAAGTTATTTAATGCTGTTAGTCCATCTTTTGAAAATCCTTTCAAACCAATTAGAAAAATTTGAGACTGAATCAGGACTTTGCAAAATGTGTGAATAACCAAGAAAGCATGACAATTACATTAAAACGGTTACAACAAAACCCATTAGCTTTTATTCGTCCCAAAATTAGTATATGAGTCCAATAAGAGTACATGTAGTAAATACAATAGACAAAGAAACGCGGGATTTTGAAATTCTTTGAAATAAAAATATTTAAGTAATTAAAAATTTGAACGAAACTGCATGACTGATTCTTGTTAAGTTTCCATGTTATTTTATAAGCGTAAGACAAAAATCTAATTATTTCATCTAATATTCACCAAGAAAATATTCGAAATAATTAGAAAAGATGGTTTGATAAACACTTGGAACCTAATAAAAAAAATCAGAAGTAGGAGATTAAGATTATTTTAGTAAATACATTAAGAAGTAAATTATTAAATGGTTACTTAGAAAGGTATGTTTTGAGAAAAACCGGAGAAAAATTAAAAACCATTATTTATTCCATTCAAACTTATTGTTAGTAAGTAAAATAGTAGGTTATTATCAAAGGTAGATTATTATCAAAAATTTAGGTGATTATCAAAAATTTTATTATCAAAGGTGAATTTAGATTATTATCATAAATTTTATAATCAAAGTTGGAAGACTAAGACAAGATAAAATTATCAGTAAAAAATCTGTATGATTATTTACAATTTTAATTTTTGTTTAAATTAACAAAAGGTCGTATAATTTCATTAATAATTAAATATTGTTACATATGCTTTTATAATAAATCAGACTTTTCATTAATTTTGTATTCATTTAAAAATTTTCTATTAAATTTTTGGTTTTCTCTTCTTAATAAATTCTTTTCTTTGCTTACAGCCACATACATTACATATATAGCTTCCTGGTTCTGAATGACGGCGCCAACATATTGTTTGTGTAACACCGCAAACAAAACATTTACGATCGTCCTTAAATACTTATTGAGAAGTTATTTAACTATGGTAAAAAAGCATAGTAAGTTCAATTACATAAACAACATTTCGCTTATTTCTCTATCGATCATCAACGTTTGGACAAATCAAATTTTAATAAGTTCCGAATTGAGTTAAAAATTCATTTAAAGAATTACGAGAATTATTAAAAATCGTTCCTAACATTGATAAAGATAACCTTTTTAGTCTTAAACCATAATTCTTTTAATCTAAACTTTCTATATTTGTGTTTATAGTCACCACATTGTTGGCACAAGTAATGTTCTTTTAGATAAATATACCACCGTTTTGTTTGTGTAACACTACAATTGAAACACATTCGCTTATTTATTTCAATTATTCTACCTATAATTATTAAGGAAAATTTTTTAGTCAAATGAAAAGAAAGACAAAATTAAAAATTTATTTACTTATTTTATTGCTAATATAAATAATTCTGCTTTTTAAGTCCTTCGGTTATTCAACTTTTTGTTTTTCTAACAATTCAATTTTATATCCAATTAAATTAATTTCTGTCCAATAATTCGATAAAAGTTTGGTCATATAATCTTCTATACTCTCTTCAATTAAGCTAAAATTCTTTCCACTCTTGTCCAATATTGAAGTTTCATAACAAATATAATTTTCAATAAAATTATTATTTCGGAGTACCTTAAATTTAACACAAATTAAAGTAGTTATGGACCCGATTTCCATTTACTTGCTTTTACTTGTTTCTTTGCTAGCTAGTTGTGAAACTTTGGAATAGGAATTCTAAAAAAATATACCATTTTTTCAAACCCAGGCAGGAAATTTTGAATTATTTCATTGTTAGTAATTTCAATCAAAATTTTCTTTTTTAACTGATCAGATGGATTATATTCTGATCTATCACTTATTTCAACTTCAAACATATTTTTATCTAGATTTAAGTTAATTGAACGCAAATATCCCTCTATATTATTAATAAAACTTTCGTGTTGATTATTTTTCTTTTCAATTACTTTGATCACAAAACGATCCTTTATTTCAACATTTTTTAAATAAATAAATTCTCTTTTTTCTTCCCAATCATCTTTGATTTTCAGTTCAACGTGAATGAGTTTCCCTGTGCATTGAATTTTCAAAAATATAATTAAATATATGAAAATGATTATATTAAATTTAATCATCTAAAATTTAGAAAATTTATTCAGAAATGGCCGGTATCATGTAAACGTGTTTGCTTATTCCTTTAGAAATAAATCGACGATTATGTGCAAGTGTTAGGAGCAGGGCTGCTATAGGCAATTTCGGATTGCGAATTGCCGGTTTCGTAAATTGCGAGAGTTTTTGCAATTGAGAGTTGGGATTGCTTTTGCGGATTCTTGGCCACTTTTAAATAATTACACTCTCCCTTTTAATTACCCCTCCAGCGAGAGTTTGAAATAATAATCACCCTGGGTAATTATTTTAGCAAATGCTTTTAATAAATAACGCTGTTATTTAATATTAATAAATAACAAAAATAAATTTTTTTATTTCTCAATGTATTTAAAAATAAATAAGGTAACATTTTAGGTATTAAATAAATACACATAGATGCGCACATCAATCATATATAAATTATCGAATAAAAAAATAACCTGCGGTATAAAAGTGTTAACAAAGAAGAATAACATTTGTTCAGGACAAAGATGAATTCTTCAATAAAACAATTTTTAATTATGTAAAAGTTAGTGGGATGATGATATTTAATTTGGTTCGTATCGTCTTGTATTTCCCCTGTCTATTTAATAAGCCCAAAAAAATTTTGTAGAAAAACTAACCTTTTATGGATTAAGAAATAAAATTGTCCAACAGTAAGCTCAGAAGGAACCAAGTACTTTTTCTTATCCAAATCACGTAGGCGAGACTTCGAAGCCTTAATTTAATGTTATTTAAAAATATATTGAAAAATCACAAACCTTCTCAACAATAACAGGAATCCGATCCGGATACTTGCGTTTGATCTTCTCGACCTAAGCACGGCGCTTCTCAAACTTATTTTCCTCTTTGTAAGCCCAGTTTTTACTTTCAACCATAATTTTAAAAAAATTAATAAAATTGTAAGAGCGATCATCTATAAATAAAAAATGTTTAAAAATATTGGATAAAACTGAAAAAATTGGGAAAAATAACTGTTGTAAAAAAAGTAATCAATAGAAGAAAAAACGGACAAGAAAGAATCAATAAATGACCATTTACTCTTGGTTTTTAGCGTTGAGTCTCATCAATTGAGTCCCGCTGTTTTTTAATTATTTCGCCAAATTACATTTGAGTCTTATCTTTTTTTTTACTCGTCAAAAGAAAATTAGCAATTTGTACTAATTAGCAGACCTGTGCATGGACACGGATTTTGCTATCCGTATCCGGATATATCCGTGAGGTTAATATCCGTATCCGTTTGTATCCGTCCAACGTTTTAGTCATATCTATCCGCTGGTATCCGCGGATATATCCGTTTTTTCTCAAGGTCAACATGACCAAAATTTTCAAAATGGTCAGTTTCATTTAAATTTAAAAAATGGTTATAAAAATGTGTTGAAAACTGTATTGTAATAAACTTAACACACTCAGGCACTGGAATCATTCAGTAAGAAATGTGGGAGCGGGCCAAGGTACCGCGCCCAAGGTACCGCAGCCCAGGGTACCGAACTAACCTTCCCCTTTCACACAGCTTCCTCGGGAACCGGAATTTTGGTCAACGGAAGTTTAAAACCCAAGAAATGTTTTGAACTTTGAGAGGGAAAAAGACATATGTACTTCTTATTTTGCAGCATTGCAGTCGAAAATTTTGTAACATCCTTAAGCCGCAAATTTTCCATCTTTGCGCCGCAAGCAAAATTTCTGAGAATTTTGGAAGACCAAGCTACATATTTTTCCATTTTCGTCGCTGCAGGCGAAAATTTTGAGAATTTTAGAAAATCATTACGCTAAAAATCATTCTTTTTTGCGCCAAAGACGTAAAAAATTCACTCATTTTCAAAGTTATCAGTTTTTAAATTCATAAAAACTGTTAATTTTTGTCAAGAAATAATAGCAAAGTTGCGCTTGACCGGAGCTGATCTCCGGAGCTAGCTCCAGAAACCATACACAGCACTGTGGGCTTTCGGGTGCCCGATCTCAGAAGGGCGCGCTCTGTTGGCCGCGCTCACATTACGCTAACCGTCTCTAGATTTTTCCTTTTCCAGTGCCGCAGGCGAAAATTTTTAGAATTTTTGAAGACAGGAAGCCTGATTTCTTTCTTTTTTCAGCGCTGCATGCGAAGATTTTTAGAATTTTGGAAGGCCATAAGTGAAAAAAATTAACTTTCTTCTGTTTCGTAACGAAAAAATTACCGACGGATATTCGCAATATCCGCTGATTTGAAGCATCATATCCGTATCCATCTGTATCCGCCGATTTTTTAAAAAACACTATCCATATCCGAATGTATCCGGATATATCCGCGGATATCCGGATATTATCCGTATCCGTGCACAGGTCTGCTAATTAGTAAAATCGGAGGGGGAGGGTCAACAATTAGTTCTTAAAAAATTTCCTTCATCCTACCACCCACTCGTTCAATAGGATTGGGATGCGCTGAACCTCCCCCACCAAAACTTTCAATAGGCTGCGGTTAGTGCGCGGACCCCTCCCCCCACCAAAGCTGTCAATAGGTTGCGGTTAGTGCGCGAACATAAATCATAATTAATTGCGGTTAGACGCACATACATTTTGCTCCAGAAATGCCCAAATAGAATAATCCAATGACTTAAATCCAGTGAGTTTGAAGGCCTTAAATCTTTCCCCCAAGAACCAGGAAACAGCTCCCCACAGAGCTGGATTGTCGTTTTGGCTCCATGCGCGGGTGCTCAATCCTGCTGAAGCGAGAATAGGTTTTCTACGTGAAGCTATAATGGCCATGAATGCTCAATCCCCTACAGAATGTCATTTTTTAGACTGTATCATTAATTTTTATAGTCATCACTATGTTATAGCGACCAGCTGCGACCAGGCGTTTAATCCTTCGACATTTTTGAAGTCTTTTATGCTTCATTCGATTGCTCTGGAAATATTAGCGGCTAGAAGCTTAAGAAAATTAATTTGACGTAAATAATAATCGAGGCGTTAAATTCTGTTGATTAAATAGCTTGGATTAACGACTGTTTTTATTTGTTTAGAAATTTATAAGACATTTAAAAATAAATAGTTGCACTTTATATTTATTAGTAAATTCATATGATTAGTCCGCATTCCATTATATATTTTGAAATTGTACTTTATTTTTATTTATCTTTGCCGATTAGGTGGGAAATAAAGTTTTATTTGCACTTTTTGCCAATTGTATTTTAAAATTGCACTTTTTGTTAATTGACTCGTTTAAACTGATTAGTTTTAAATATTTAGAAATATAAAAAGTGCAAATATTTATTTGAAATGCCGTCTATATTTCAAAATAAATAGATAAAGAAATAGTTATATCAAGGCTATTTGATAGAAGAAAAGTTTGATGACTATTTAACTTTTATTTATATGTTTAATATCCTGTTATTTTCAATTAAGACATTTCTAAAAATTTAATTAAAATATAATTCTAAATTAGGTTGTAACTTTTATCTCAATAAGTAATATCTCGTTTTCATTTAATTAAAAACTTTGCCCAAGAAACATTAAATAATGTTCTAAATATTTAAAACTAATCAGTTTAAACGAGTCAATTAACAAAAAGTGCAAATCACTTTTTTATCCCACTGATTGACATGATAATTAAAAATAAAGTGCAATTTTAAAATACAATTGTCAAAAAGTGCAAATAACACTTTATTTCCCACCTAATCGGCAAGAAAAATAAAAATAAAGTACAATTTCAAAATATATAATGGCATGCGGACTAATCATATGAATTTACTAATAAATATAAAGTGCAAGTATTTATTTTTAAATGTCTTATAAATTTCTAAACAAATAAAAACAGTCGTCAATCCAAGCTATTTAATCAACAGAATTTGACGCCTCGATTATTATTTACGTCAAATTAATTTTCTTAAGCTTCTAGTGAAGTCTATTTAAAAATACTGAAGGCATTTACAAGAAATATAACATAAAAACTTTAATTTAGAAGATAATTTTCTTACATAGCTATTAGAGGATCTTCAATATGTTTAATGTAAGATAATCTAATATAATGATAATCCCAAAACCGTGAAAACATTAAAAGTTAAAAAATTATTAAAAATGAAATTATTCAAGAATTTTTCTGGAATGACTAATTTTGAATACTCTTAGATGCATGAAGCATAAATCACCCTTTTTAGTGTCTGAAGCAAAAATTTTAGGATTTACTAAGACCATAACAAAAAGCCAATTTTTATTGCTGGGGCTTTCCATATGTGCAATATGCGCATATATATGCATGGAAAATGCCCAAAATATGCACAAAATATGCAAAATCGGACAAAATATTCAATATGCACGAGAAGCTCAAATTAAGCAGATTTATGCATAAGGAACCGTTCCCTAAAGTTCAAGCCACAAATGTAAGACATCATTTTGGCTTCTTTCATCAAAGCATATCCTCATACAAAACTACAAAACATGCATTTGCATGTTTTGTGGATGGAAATAAATGGATGGCATTTGGTGTTGCAAAATTTTGGCTTTTTTGCACGCTAAAATAATAATCACACCAAACGTCGGAATATCAAAATGTCATAGCGCACATCCCTGTCAACACTTACGCTTTTGAGCTCGCAGTGGTCTCCAAAAGAGCTTCCTATAAAACGACTATAAAAATGAGAGTGTTTTATTAACAAAATTTCAGATGATTATATCTAATTTGATCATTCTCTTATATTTAATTATTTTATTGTATATTCAATGCGTTGGGAAACCAATTAGTGTTGAGTTAAAAATCAAAGATGATTGGGAAGAAAAAAGAGAATATATTTATTTAAAAGATCTTGAACCTAAGGAGCGTTTTGTTGTGAAAACAATCGAAAAGCACAATCATTATTTCGGCTCTAATTGCAATACGGATGGATTTACCCGTTTGGTTGACTTCGATCCTGCTACAAATATATTTAAAAATATAAAATTAAATGTTGGACGAACAAATGATTCAAATTATTTATTAAAGATAAAAATTGTGATTGAAATTGACAACAATAAAATTATTAAAGAAATTTTACAAGGATGTGAAAAACGGGTATTTTATGCACTATTAATCAAACTTCACTTGATATGAATAATATACAAGTGAAGTTCTATTAATCATGCTGATATGAAAAACTTATTCTATAATAATCGAAATCGAAAACCTATAAAGTTACATTAATATTATTAGAATAATTTATCCTTTAATTTTAGGCACTAAGATATAATAAATTTACTACGGAAGATAATTTCTATGAAACTTCTATATTAAATGAGAGTTTAGAAAATACAAAAATAAATAAAACAGAATTATTAAAAGATAATATAGAAAATTACAAAAACAAACTTTTATCAAGTTATTGGACGGAAAATAATTTAATTGGATATAAAATTGAATTGTTAGAAAAACAAAAAGGTGAATATACGGAAGAATTAGGAAGCAGAATTATTGAAATCGCGAATAAAATAAGTAATAATAACTTTATTTTAGTTTATTCTGTCATTATTTATTTCTTTGTTTATTAAAAAACTCTTTAAATAATTTAGGTGAAAAAGATGAACAAAATAAACGACATTGTTTCAATTGTAGAAGTACAGAAAATAAATTATGGCATAAGTACATAAAGGAATATTATTTATGTCATGCTTGTGATTCCTATAAACATTATAATAATGGAAAATTTAGACCAAAAGAAAAGTGGTTTAGAACTAACCAGGTTCATTAGATTTTTAAATAAAAAAACTTAATAAGAACTTTACAAAAAGAAATAGAATAAAGTATAAAAATTTCTAAATTATGTTCAGTAAGGGGATCAATAATTGTCATAAAATTTGTTATTTAGTTAAGATTATTTTGTAAATTCTAAGATATAAATTTACTTATAGAAAAGTAGAAAGAAAAGTATTTATCCTCTTACACAGAAAGAAATTAGCTAGTTGATCGAA